TTAAAGCATTGTAAGCCCTTAGAGGAGGATGATTGATTTGAATAAGAATTTTCATGAGTTTTATCTCATCTTTGTGAGGTAGTTCATCTTTTCTATAATCTTCCGCTACGTCAAATATGAAGTAACATATTAGTCAAAATCTCCTCTCAACTCAGAAAAATAGAGTTGCTGAGAGAATGAACAAGACTAATAAATAAGGTATGAAGCGTGCTAATCTGTTACTTATCATCAAATTGATAATTATTGGCGATGCGATAACATAATTAGTTTTTTTAGAATTTATTAATGGAAATATGATGAGTGTTTATAGATATCGATGCTATTATAGTGTTTGTGGGATTTGATTTGGTTCTCACGCATAGCATTTTACTTCTAAACTTAAGTGTAAAATTAATTAGTTTTAGTTTGCGTATAATTTGTATGAATGTAAAGTGAGTAATATAAGTAAATATTTATTTGTTTTAGTTTGAGGAAAATATGTATGTATGCAGAGTGCTATAGTCAATATAGTTCAATGTTATTTTTTTGAGTTTCCATATCATTATTGAGTTTTTAATTCCTTAACGAACTAAAATGAAGAATGTTCCTTTTTGTACACACCTTCAAAATTTATGTGTCACTATAGTTGTTAACATTCAAAACCAATAAAATGAGGTGGGTATACTAATTGGCTCTTTTGGAAATATTTTGAGGGATATGTTTTTTATAAAAAATTATAAAACTCATCAATTTCTTGAAAAATAGTTTTCAAAAAATTCAATTAATAATTCTTATTCATTTTTTTTTTAAATAATATTATCTAGTACTATTGGTGCTTCAACACTAGTCTAGGTGTCATCATGTGATAAAATCAATGAAAAATGGAATTAAGTGACCCATTTATTTTAGCTTTTATTTAATGTCACCTAGGCTCGCGTTGTAGCTAAACAATAATATTCTTTTTTTTTTTTTGCAAATGTTAATCCCTAAATATTTCTTAACACTTGTAAAACACGAAAAAAAAATTCTAGTAGTTTTCGCCTCTATTGAGTTGACATATACTATACTCCATGTCAACTCAATAGTGATATGGAGTAGTCGAGTTTTTTTTCTTGCGAAAGGAGAAACAAAATGTGGGAAGTTATATTTCGGTATAGAGCAATTTGGGATTTTGAGGACTTTGGAAATTTGGAAGGATTTCAATTGTAACAATGGGATGGATAAGAATGCTTGACAAGTGTAAATGAATATTTAGGACATTTAAATTTTGAATGAAAATTAGGTGGAGATATTAATGGGCATTTTTTATTTTTAAGAAAATATTGATGTGTTTGTATAAAATTTAAGTTGAATGTTACATAGTATCAGTAGTGTTTAATACTAGTTCTGTGCCAATGCATATGAATTTAAATGATATGTTGAATTGAATACAAGGATATATGACTCATTTAATTAGGTCTATCATGTATTCTCACAAACTGATGTTAAGAACAATTGATATCAATAATATTACTTATAATAAAGTGTTTGTCGAATGTGATCACAACAACACAGATGATAATAAATTGTTTTAATTTGAGTAATGTTTTTAATATAATTCAACGATTTTTATGTTTTCATTATTTATTACCAATGTGTTATTAATTATTGTTACCTAACCTATCATTAAGATCATAAATAAAATCACAAAAACACACAATGTGATAATGATATAAGATTAATAGGTAGAAAAATATTTTCTAACGTAAGAAAAATTGATGAGGGACATATTTGAGGCCCTTTGAAAGAGTTTATATAACAAGGCAAGAAAAAAAAAGAGGGTCTTTGAGGAATTCAATGAAAGGGGCCAAGACACACTGATTGTGATTACTTTGATCGGACAAGAAAATGAATGTAATCTGTACAAACAAATATGACTTCCAAACTAACATAACTTAACACTACTATGCTATTGTAATCGCTTTCCAACGAACACTTTTATATCATTTATTTTTGAGGAATGCTGTTTGACATCAATAATATCGACCTCAGTGATAATACATTTATAAGACTAATCAAACGAGTCAAATTTCTTTGTATTTAGTTCAACCTAACATTTAATTCTATATTTATTGCATTACTAGGTAACATAATTATTAATTTTTGTCCAAACACATCAATATTTTCAAAATAATTCCAAATTTGCTAACGTGCTTATTCATCCCATTACTACCAATTGTTCTTCTTCCCATTTTCCAAAGCCCTTCACAAAAGCCCCAATTACTCGACTAAAACAAGAGTAAATTAGTCATTCCATCCGCCATAGACGAAATATAACTACCCACCACCCTTCTTTCCCTTTCGCCATTCTCAAGAAACCCAGCTCTGTCCACCTCACCTCACTCCACATCACATTACCCACGCTACCCCCTCATTTTCTCAGTTTTTTCGTACAAAATTACAAAATTTTCTTCCCCACACCGCTTTCTTTGGGTAGGTGACGTCCCCTTTTCTGTCCGATCAACGTATCGAAGCGGTGTTCTTTTGCCATTTTTATTGAATTCCCAAAAGACCCTATTTTTTTGGCCATATAAAATGCATCTCGTATGGAGGGCATCGCAGTTTTTGTAGTGTGGTAATGTTGAAAGTTTTTTGTGAGAATTTTGTGAAAGTATTTAGAAATGGAGAGTGAGAGGGGGGCTGCAAATGTGAGCACGAGACCTCAAATAGATCTGAACGAGGTTCCGATTTCATCGCCCGGTGTAGCCCAAGAAGTAGTGATTCCGGTACCGGCGGCGGATGCGTCGATAAGTGTTTCAGTGTGCTCTGTTTGTAGGATTCCGGCAGGGAGGCTTACGGAGCAGCCGCAGCAGGATTGGAGGTGTTTCCGTTGCTTGCTAAAAAATGGCGGGAGTGGGAGTGGGAGTGGAAGTGGAGGAGACGGCGCTGCTGTTGGCGGCGGTGGAGGGGTTCTCAACATCAATGCTTCGCTCCCACGCGAGGCGGAGACCCAGAGGGAGCGAAATTTGGTGGACCTGACTGCTGACGTGGCGGTTCTGGTGAGGCGGGACCCACAAGTGGATCACGGTGGCAGTGGCAAGTATGAATACTCTTTCCTTTTTTATCCTTTTTTTTTTTTTTTGCCTTTTCGGTTTTTACAAGCATTTAATGCTTTTTTATTTTCACAATGAAAATCGAGAACAAGTAAAACCGTGAATTTCTATGTTTCTCCAGTTTATTTTTATTTTTGTCGCGTGTGGTTGCATGTGTCTGAAGTCATTTTCCTATTCCTTTTATGTTCGTAATTGCCTTTTTTTTTCTTTCTTTTTCCTGTTTTTATAACCTTTTTCAAGTTGTGGTTGATAGATCTCGAGCTTGCAGAAATGTTGCATTATACATTTTCACAGAGGTCTAGATAACCAAACACGTCTTCTCTTGGACCTAAAATTTTGAGGTCTATACAACCGAACATTTTGGGAAAATGATTTATTTTCCATTGTCACCACAATCTTTGGTTACCCTATCAAGTTGTTTTTTCACACAAGTTCCACATCGTGGTGTTCCATAGGACAATAGTTTTTCTAGTATTGTAGTTGTTTGACACTCTTTGATGCTGTAAAAGCCTTGATTATAAAAATACTGCAGTCTCTATAATGCTGTTAACTTGTACAGTTTGGAGATTTGAGTAATTTTTATATGCCTGATTCTGGTTAGGCAACCATGTTATTTTGGTCAAAGAAAGAAGAAAGTAGTCTAACCGAGTCAAATCAAGATATAGAACATGTAACTAGGGTGGGTGGAAGTAATTCATTTGTTTCACTTTGAAGTTGCAGTAAATCAATTGAACTACCTATTTAGATTGCTAGGGTCTAGCAGGCTATGACAGAATTTGTAAAAGATCTTTTTATCATTTTGCAAAGTGAACTGTCTTTTGACATGGAAAATACAGGTGTTATACCATACCATTTTGTAAGTTTGCCCAGTTAGCAATGCATGGACCTTCACATGATGACACGCCATTAAGGTAGCTCAAGAACGAGGTTATCCATTGGAATGCATATGACTCTCTCATGGTCAAAATCATGCTCGACTACTATTCAACGCAAAGGGTCGAGATGAATATACTAGAGCTATAGAGATAGCTCATAGTTCACTAAGATGACAATGACATGGGTCAACAAATACGAGTCAAGGATGACCACTGGGACCCAATGAAGAAATCAGCTCAGGTGCGAAACTAATGGCCCAACCTTTTCCACTTGGTTAGCTACCTAGATGAGGTTACACCCACAGTGGAAGAATAGCTTGAGATGCTGAAAGTGACTTTAGGAACAAGTTCCCATAGGAGTTTGTGGCAACATGACTTCTAAGGCATCTAGAGTTGTAGTTCATATGTGATGTGACTAGCTGAATAGTGCTTGGAGACACCTGTCCCTCCATTCCCTCCATGCAGAAGGTAGTTGACTATCGACAACTGATGGAGAACATGGAAACTCTCCACCTGACGAAAACACGAGAACTCTCCATCTCCACTTATTCGTCTATATAAAGAAGGATATATACTCACAAGAATACCTACTGAAGAATGATAAGCTACAATTTTAAACTGTACCTTCTACATCCATATCTTACACTCATATATTACTTGATCGTTCGAGTCAAATTAGCCAGCAACCTTCCTTTCTGCGGCCGTGACACTAATTGACGTCTCTAATTGCAGACTTATGGAGATGGAGAATAAGATACCATCTCTAGGGTGGATTATGCCCATACCATCCCAAGTTGACTGGAGGTTAGAAGGCACAAGAGTTAGTTCGTCATTGCTTGATGTGGATGTAGATTGCGTCGAGATGAATATGGGCACTTTTGGCCTTGGAGGTTTTTATTTTGGTTGCATCACAGCAACACTTATTTTTATTATTTTCGAGAGTACCCAATTCATATCAGTATATATACTTTTGGATTGATTTGACTGGAAGCATTTGGAAGTTAGGACTATATAGTTACCTTTTTATACTTGTTGCATCCATGGAGTTATTTTCCTTTTCATTTGAGTGTAATTTGGATTTGTGGAAAATCTTATGCTTAAAAGTTGCCTACAATTTGTTAATTTTGAGCAACAAAAGTAGTGCCACTGATACTTATGAGTACACCAGGACACGTGTTTAGATGTGACACAATCCAATGCGACATATTTCTCCTTGTCCTAATTTGAACCTGTTTAGATGTGACACAATTCAATTTAACATGGATTTGTCATTGGAACTTGACACGTCATGATATGAGATGTCATTCAATATCCTATTAATCTTGCCAGAGGCGTTTGATAGGGAATTTTGGGAAAATCAATGAAAATAAAGTTTAAGGACATGTTATTTCCATACAATGAATGAAAGTGGAAATTATACCTTTTTGATCTATCCATTTATACTAATTTCCCTAAATAAAAAGGAAGATTTTTTATGTGCAAATGTTGCCACAATTGTCCATCATGAATTAAAAAATGATGGGAAGTTATTTTCAATTTGTCACATCAATAGTTGACCGTGTATATAAACTTGCATCAAACATATTTTGGATGAAACTATCCAACATTTCACGAATGAAACTATCAATATCTTACATGCTAAAATTGTAAGAATTGGATGGTATTTGTCGCTGATAAGTTGAAACTATCTTTTGGCACTTGGTTTAGTATTATTTGTAAAAAATATTCCCTTAGTTCAACTTATATGTTTCGCTTGATACATAGTGTTGAATGAGGGCCAATATCAATTCTCTCCTAGTTTCTTTCCTTTTACACTTTGATATTGACATGAAATACTCCTTCATGGAAAATAACTTCAATGGAAAGCCAAATAAACTTAGTAAGGAAAGAAGGCAATGCAATGCCATGGGACCTGTTCAAAAGGAAACAACTTATACTTTGTTTACTTGTATACAAACAATATTCGTATAATATCAAATTTGAATTATAAAATTAATATTTTGATAGCTTTTGAAGTTGAAAACTTAATAAGATCAACATCAAAAATTGCTTCCAAAAAATTTCTCGCGTGGTTTATCTGGAATGGTGGGAAAATGATATTTACTTTCAAAGAAGTCTCAGTGTTGGATTTTCACTCAAATATGACTATCAATAGGTGTAATTGGGAACAAATTTAGCTTTTCCTCTTCATTTAAGGATGCTATGACACATTTACACTTGCACAATCTCTAATTTTTTTTCTTTTTTTTGGCAAAAGAGTACATCTTGAGGCGCCACTTTGAAGATAAATTTTGAGTGCTATTTATCAAGACATACTCCTCAACTTATTAACTATGAAAGATGAAGTTAGGGGAAAAGGAAATTTAATCACATAATTATCTATTCCAACTATTTTAATGACGATTTAACACATGGAAAGTCTATTATATTTCATGATTACTTTCTTTTATTCTTTGTTGTCCATACAATACCTTACATGGAAAGTCCATTATTTTGCTAGCTCATTACACAATAACTTCGATGCTTGGACTCTTCGTTTTTGAGGAAATATACGTTTGGCATGATAAGACATGCACAAGTATCGGATTTGTCTCTAATCTTTTGGCACAACAATGCAAATGCACTTCGTATTTGAAAGGAAGTAGAGAACTAAACAGTGATTATCGATGCTAAAAAGAAAAGGACAAAGAAACTAATTTGCATTAGGGAAAAAAGGAGCCAACCTCCAAATTTAGGCAACGAAGCAATTTTTCAAGCAATAAGTAGAAAAATTGGGCCGTGAAAATGGTGAAATTTTGCAAATAGGTGAAATATCCAAATGATCTAGGAAAAGACGGCCATGGAGACTAGAGAAAAGGAAGAATAAAGAGAGAAGCTTTGGACAAATGATGAAGACGAAGAGGTGTGTGGGGGATGTTCTCGAGAAGGGAGAAAGAAGTTATTGGAAGATGGTGAATGTAGTGAACAAAGAAGAGTTAAGAGGTATAGGTCAATGTACATTCTTGAGATTAATACAGATTAATAAAGTTGGTAGCGTAGAAATATGGTAAGGTGGATTTTGGGCAACTTAATTATACCCTTTCCAAATTAAGCATTGGACTGTCAATGAGATCGATAGAGCATGGAAATTGACGAAAATTATGACTTAACATGATTATGTATATAATTGTATGTACTATATTTAGGTTGATTACATCAGCCATATTTAGATTGATATCATATTTGTATAGGTTTCTCTTCCTATATAATGCAAGAAATCTCTCAAAGGGAAGATGATTCACTCAAAAGTTTTTCATGGTATCAGAGCCTACCTCGTAGACTTTTTACTGAATCCTCGATTTTTTTTTGTCATAACTCAACCTGTCAAGTGTGGGTTTCTTCTAGTAGTCTACGGTTGACAATATTTTTGTCAACATGTGATTTTTGTGGTGGTCCATGGTTGATAAAATTTTTGTCAACGTATGACTCTTGTGGTAATCCTCGGTTAACATAATTTTTGTCAATATGTGATGGTGCATTGAGTGCGGTGCAGTTCCAGCCATCCTAAACCTATTTTGATAGCTTGCTTGCTTACGATGCAAGCTTTTATGAAGTTGGAGGTTTATTTTAGCGATTCAACATTAGATTTGTCGAATGAATTTAGTTACATTTTATATGGATTATTGAATTGGGCCTTTGAGTTCTTTTGTACATCAGTCAACAAATTGATGCTTTTTGATCATCCACATCCATTTGAGAGGATGTTAATGAGATCGACAGAAATCATGGAGATTGACGAAGATCGCAAATATTGACGAAAATTATGACTTAACATAATTATGTATATAATTGTAGTTACCATATTTATGTTGATTAAATCTATCATATTTAGATTGATATCATAGTTGTATAAGGTAATACTTTTATTATATAATGCAAGGAATCTCCCAACGGAAGATGATTCAATCTAAAGTTTGTTGTCATGGACTTAATAGAAACAAATTGTTCCAACAAATAGATAACCATGTGTTTGAGAATACCTATGTCCTAGATTTAAAAAAATGGGACACAACTCCTAGACACGTATCCATATCTGATATATGCACCTGAACCCATAGATCACATGTAACAACATTATTGCATGAAAAAAGCCACACATCATTTAGCTCGATTTAAAGGGCACGCTGTGGACATTTCTTTGGTGCCAACCGTGCTAAAAAAATCTTTGCGACACTAAATGCAAGAAACATTATTTATTCCTTTTGAGGTAGTAATCATGTCTAGCTTCTCTGTCCTTCTTTCCATTTTTGTTGTTATTAATTATTGAAAGTCGTGGTGCTTTGTGAAACCTCACGAAACATACTTGTTTCCTTAATTGACATCATGGTGAAGAGAAAGTTTGGTGGCCACAATATCATTTATGCTCTTGCAACTATTCTGTTTAGGAAATATATAAACTTAACAAGTCAAACCTTCTGTGTTAGACATTATTGTCATTTAGGTTCTTTATTAATTGTAGTTTACTCGTTTCATTTGTTTAAAGTTTGATATGTTAGGGTTTTACAATTGAAATTTTTGTCTTTGTAGTCACTCTGGCTTCCGCTCTCTAGTGAGCAGCCTCGTGCCCCTCTTCCAGTCAAATTCTTTTTGTCAGACATTGGTGCTGTTTTCCTGTCAATATAGATTTTTGAAAATCATGTGATTTTGTTGATTGTTGGTGGCAGCGTTCTTTTGACTCTGTTTGTTATCTTCTCGCTATGTGTTGGTAGGGGGGGGGGTTGGTGGCTGTCGATTTTGCCTCTGCTACCTGACCTTTGGCTAGGCTACAGGGTGGGTTGGTGTGGTTATTGGGTGGCTGGCTCCAATATGGACAGTCGCTTTGGGTGGTGGTCTTCATTGAAAGCATGAACTCAGTTGTTTTAGGTTCTTTATTAATGGTAGTTTAGTCCTTTCCTTTGTTTAAGGTTTTATAGGTTAGGATTTTGGGTATATTGTTGTTTTGTAGTCATTTTGGCTTCCTCTCTCTAGTAAGCAGCCTTGTGCTGCTTGCCCAGCCTTGCTATGTGTTTGGGGGGTTGGTGGATGTAGATGTTGCCTCTGCTGTCTGACCTTTGGTTAGGCTGCGGGGGCTGGTTGGTGCGGTTATTGGGTGGCTGGATCAAATATTGACGGTCTCTTTGGGTGGTGGTCTTCATTTAAAACATGAATTCAATTGGTAAATTCTATATAGATATATTTGATTTAGCACATTTCATCATCTTTTCTGATTCGAAAGTAACATAATTGGTAGACTTCTTTGAATACTTATTATTACGTCTCTCGCCAACTTTTATCTGAATTATTCAATTTCATTGCTAGATTTCATGGTTGTGGATATCATTAATTAATTGGTATTGGGTATTTGATTATCTCCTTGTTACGTCGTCCGGGAAACGTTAAATTTGCAAAATTTAATGTTGGGTTGAAATAGAAGTAATATGGGTATTTATGATTTTTTTGTTATAAATTTACTAGGATATTGATGAATTAATAAACATCTGGGAATTGTGTAGTTGTGGTAACTCTTTAAAGATTTTGGCATTCAGTTCAAGAAATTCTCTACAGACTTCTCCACAAGGCTATTTTGTTTAGATTTGAGAGGGTTGCTTTCTAGAAGTTTACATGAACACTGGAGCAATTGCTGAGGGGGTTTTACCCTTCACAATCGCTTTCGCTGTCCTTCTCGGTGTCCTTAAGTGTTGTAGCAATCTACTTTTATCCTGATTTAAGAGGTCCTTACCGTTTCCCTTACCCAATCTCAGGAGAAGCAAACTCCGAAGGACTAGTTTTCACCTCCTTACATTCCAAGCAGGCCCTACCTTAACCTGTCTTCAGACAGCCAGGCCGCATGAGAATTTAATGCTTGCCTCGACAACTGTTGCCTTGGTTGTTGCAGGTTCTAGCTATACTGGACCTTCCATGAATCCCGCCAATGCCTTTGGCTGCACATATGTAAGCAATAAGCACAAAATGTGGGAGAAATTCTATATTTACCGGATCCGTCCCTTCATTAGAGTAATATTGGCTGCTAAGATTTATGTATTATGTTTCCTTTTTTAGTAAATTAGAAGAAACCTTGAAGTCTAAATTGATCAAACAATTTAGTCCTAGCTTGTGAATGTTAGAATGTCCTGAATCAGTATTTTCTAGCTTCTAGATTATTGTTACAGTCCAGCTGTTTTAGGGCAGTGGGAATTTTATTCTACCAGCTATATACTAAAGTTAACTTCTTATGCTTTTGGATAACAAAACCGATCTGATCGAACTATTTGGGCTCGTCAGTAGCTCCTGGTTGCTACCCTGTTGTTGGCAATGGCCTTTGGTTGGAAATTTTTGATGGTAGCAGCGTCACTGTTCTTTGGCTTCTCCTTTCTGATACTAGGTTTTCTCCCTTCGTTTTGGGTTCTTCTCTTGTTTGGTCCTGTTTATTTTTCACTGTTGGTTTTGCTGTTGAGCCTTCTGTGTGTTCTGTAGGATCTTTTAGAAGATTGAGTTCAGATCTATTTTAGATTCTGTTATACTTTTTTTCCATGTATTGTAGAACATGGAGGTTTGCTAGTGTATACCCAATGCATGTCCTAATTGTGTGCCACAAAGCTGAATGAAAATGATTATAAACTCGCATCTTTTTCTAATTTTTCGCACAAGCATCTTTGTCAGATTATTGCCTTTTAGATATTCTTTTATGTTAAAATTACTGATTGAACTGCTATTTATTTAGTTTGCTTGCTATTTTATACTCCTTACAACAGGGTTTTCTCTCTCAAATGTATTAATACTCACGTTTTTACTTTGCAGAATACAAGCTTCACAATTTACTTCTCTTTCCAGCCATTGTACCACAATTACACAGTCAGATTGTTTATATGCTGATAATGAATATAATCTTCGGAAGACCTTATGTGTTGCAACAAACACTACTATATCAGGTTTTAAAGATACTACGTATCATGGGGGACCCTCATTCGATGGGAGGCTTAGGACTAGTAATTATATTGGAACTGAATATTCTACTCAGAGTTCAAACATGGCATATCTGCAGGCTCTGAGAGAATATATTTCTGAAAGAAAAGGTGTTTTGGGAGAAGGTTGGTCTGTGGAATTAGATTATGATGAAGAAATTTGCACGACCTCTGTCATCTATATTGCCCCAGATGGAACTCGGATCAAATCGAAGGAGGACGTTGCTCGCTATTTAGGGTTGTTAAGCTATCCTTGTGTGGAGACTGAGAGTGGAAGTAATGGATTTGGTGTTCAAAATGAATTGCACAATGATCAAGTGAAGGAGACCTCTAGATTTCTGACAGTTGGAAACAGTAGACAAAGACAAAGCACTCCAAGGAGTGCCAAGGGGCAGGGTTTTCTGTCAGGCTCAAGGACCATAGATGGTCCAGATAACCGAGGAGTACGTGTGCAATCTATTTGTATTCTTTCTTTAAACTACAATTCGATTTTACCAAAATCCACCTTCCACCTTCAATAATAAGAATAATTGCATTAGGAATAGTTTCATTATTATTATGTGATTTGTGAAAGAAATTTTGCTTCCAAAAGTTAAATGATTCGAGCAAAACCTCTACAAATTCCTCTACATAAAACAAAGTATTCAATAGATCAGCTTTTGTCTTGTCAATTGCATCCTCTTCTCCTTCAGATGCTCATGAATTCTGGTTGTGCCTTTGGCTCTAAAATAGATATATAAGGGGCATTCTCTGTGCTTTGTATTCATTTATACAAGTGCAGTACGAAAGCAGCTCCTTATCAGGTCTTTGCATATATAAAAAACTCACGAACCTTGCATGGGTAGTTATATCCCAATCTTATCCTGAATATTATTTGAACTGTTTTCCAGGATGGCTTCCCAATTCAGTTTCAAGATTTTTTTCTTGTATCGGCTGGAAATATTGACTCACGGCCATCATACCATAACACTAACCAGATCTGGCCTGTTGGTTACCAATCGAGCTGGCATGATAAAATTACGGGATCCTTTTTTGTATGTGACGTTGAAGATGGTGGCGAATCTGGCCCCACTTTTAAGGTCCGGAGATATCCATGTAGCATGCATTCCATTCCAATTGGTTCAACTGTCCTCTCAAGGCCGAAATTGAGTTCCTGCTATGGGGATGACAAACTGGGGAAAGATGATTCAGCCATATCCCAGGTGGTTGATGATGAAAGTGTTTCCATACATATGATGCTAAATGAACTCAGCCCACCAAGTCTGGATGATAACATCTCGATTTCAAAGAAAGGAAAAGAAGTTGTTCATTCTCAAGCAGTAAATTCTTCAACATTACCTCAAGGTTCCAGAACAAAAGTAGTTGATCTCTTAGGAGTGAAAGATAACATTGGGAAATTTCAAGTGGAGGGGAAGTCGTCATCATCTGTGTGGGAAATGGTCTCCCAAATTTTTCTTAATGCTTTCCATGAGACGTACAAGCAAAAGGGTACATTTCTGTTTTTCTGTGTTCATGGTCCAGATGAAACACATACTGAAAACCCTGACATTCTTGATTCTTTATCAAAATTTTCTTGCTCGGCTGGTCCTATCAACATCCCACAATCAATTAAAAATGAAGACGAGTATAACACAGCTTGTGAAATGCTGTTAGCATGGTTAAGACAAGACAGGTTTGGACTAGATGCAGAATTCGTTCAGGAAATACTAGAGAAGCTTCCGGGAGTTACCACTTGTTCAGAATATAAGTTTCTGAATGATAGAAAGCATAAGGCAAGCCTACAAACAGTTGGAAGTGGGTTCCTCCTGGCTAAGAGGAAGAGCAATTTACTAGGTGACCCAGAATCTGACTCTTCCTCTGGAAATTACAAGAGACCTAAGTTGCAGACACATGACTCACAGAGGGATGACTGTCCTCCTGGCAAGCCACTAAGCTCAAAGCTTGCTGCATACTTGATTGGAGATGCTCTTCAGGTATCGTGTACTGAATTTTTGGGATTAAGTGCATGCTGGGTTTGTGCTTAAAATTACTTCTAGAAAGTCAGTCGAGTAACGTGCTTATGATTTCTTCCATTCTTCATCAGGTTTGGGAGCTCGCGTGGCATTTCTTAGATGTTCTGGGGCTAGGAAAACCTTTTTCTTTTCGGGAACTTGAATCTGAACTAGTAGTCCCTTGGTTAGACAGTTATCCTATGCAAAATTCTGGACATAAAACTCTGGACAATGGAGATGTGGTGGTTTTTCCAGCTAGAGTTGCGTGTCTCAGCGGATGTACTGGTTTAGTTTTGGCCAGGATTCATGGCTCACTGCTGAATCTGCTTGTTCCAGAGCTTCTGTCTAAGGTGGCAGTACATGTATGTCCTAATTTTGATTCGGGAGAATACAAATCAAGAAAAGGAAGGAAGAAAGATATTGATTTCTCAGCTGCTCTAAAGAAAGCAAAGCTCAATATGCTGCCTGTCAATGAACTAACTTGGCCTGAAATTGCTCGAAGATACATTTTGGCTGTTTTGTCAATGGAGGGCAATCTGGATTCTACAGAAATTGCAAGCCGTGAGAGTGGAAAAGTCTTCCATTGCCTACGAGGTGATGGTGGAACACTTTGTGGGTCCCTTACCGGCATAGCTGCATTGGAGGCTGATGCAGTGGTAGGATTTACTGAACTATTCCTGCTTGTATCTTGATGCAATTTGATTCATATTCATCGCATATTTTAATTCATTTAAAATTGCTAGACTGAAATTGCGTAACAGAGTTATGTCTGGTTGATGATCCCTGGGATTCTGCGATATTTGCAGTTTCTTGTTGTATGCTAGGAGGTCAATAAGTTCCAAGACATTTTTGTTGATCTTGTTATGCACTGTTGGTTTTAGATTTAAGTTATTTGCCATGCCCCGTAGTTATGTCTGTTTACGTTGATTTTCATTTAATGTTGTTCTTTTAATCAACGATGTCGTAATGTATGTAATTTGCAGATTCTTGCAGACGCTATGAAGCAAATATTTGGGTCATTGAAGGGTAAGAATGAGGTTGTTAGCATATTCGTGAAAGAGTCTGATACAAGAAGTGATTCTCAAACTATGGAGGCGACTGAGGGTGTACTCCCCGAGTGGGCAGAAGTGCTTGAACCTGTAAGAAAGCTACCAACAAATGTTGGAGCTCGGATAAAAAAATGTATACTTGAAGCTTTAGAGAGAAAGCCACCTGAATCAGTTAGGAAGATATTAGAACATTCTATCAGCAAGGAAGTTTACAAGGGTAATGCATCCGGGCCCACCAAGGTGATATTTTCTTATCTACTTGTTTTTATCTATCAGCTGTATTTTTCCAAGTAACAATAAATTCTTGGTACCTATTTGGTACCTAGTACTCGACACCATAATGAGCAAGTTGTAAATTCCTTTTCCTCTTTGATACTGTTTACTGCTAACTAATTTTCACTACCAAACACACACTTGGCATCTTTACAAAAGACGGGTTCTGCTATCCGAACGTGTGTGCTAAATTGAGCTGACTTTCTTTATTTTGTTGTATATAGAGAGCAGTTATCTTAGTGTTGGCAAATATGAGCCGTGAAATTCCACGGCCAAAGGCTCAGAAGAAAGAAAAAGGATGGATTATTATCAATCTCTCTGATCTGATCATGAAACAATGCCGTATAGTGCTACGGCGTGCTGCTGCTGCAGATAAAGATAGAGTGTTCTGCAATTTGTTAGGGAGAACATTTCTAAGTCCTAATGATAATGATGATGAGGGACTTCTTGGATACCCTGCAATGGTATCTCGTCCTTTAGACTTCAGGACTATTGATTTGAGATTGGCTGGTGGGGCCTATGGTGAATCACATGAAGCTTTTATTGATGATGTTCGAGAGGTATGTTTTCTGCAAGTTGCTTAATTTTTTATTGTATGCCCAACTTATTCTCAATTTTCAATTTAATATGAACCATAAATTAATCTCATTTATAAGGTTTGATCAGTTGGTGAAGTCGACAGGAATAACTGAAGATTTAGTCGAAATTGGAGCACTTCATCAAGAAACAAAGATAATTTTTATTTTGGCACACTCATTACTTCATGAAACTTTGTTTCCTTGTCCAGATAAAGTGTTGTGTGAATATCCTAAAAGATTTTATGAATACCTTGCAATTTGAATACCAAGTTTTCTGACTCATTTTTTGTCAGGTTTGTAATAATTTACGCACTGCATATGGAGACCGATCTGATTTGATTGGTGTAGCTGAAAAATTGTCCCAAAAGTTTGAAGACCTGTATGAGAAAGAGGTTGCTTGATATTTATTCCCCAGTTTCCTTCTTATAGTGTGACGTGACCAAATTGAAGCCTTGAAATACTTGGATCCTCTCGTTCTTTACCTGAGCTTAACGTGCTTGTACTTTTTTCCAGGTTATTACTCTTGTCCATAAAATTGCTGAGTTTGCAGATCTTGATAGTTCAAGTGGTGAAGCTACAAAGGAGAGAGATGACTTCCTTGCCAGTATATATGAAATCTCACTTCCTAGGGCTCCTTGGGATGGAGGAATTTGTAAGGTGTGTGGCATGGACAGAGATGATGACAATGTCCTGTTGTGTGATAAATGTGATTCTGAGTATCATAGATATTGCTTGAGTCCTCCACTTACTAAAATCCCGGAAGGAAACTGGTATTGCCCTTCTTGTGTTGGTAAATCAATTTCTGGAAGTGCAGCCCACAGTTCTGCTGTAAATCAACATGGGAAAAGAAAAAATCAGGGAGAGTTCATGCACAAGTTTTTGGAATCAATGACGCATTTAGTAAACCTGCTTGAGACAAAAGAATATTGGGAGTTTACAGTGAATGAGGTTTGTCAGATTACCTCTTTCGCATGTTTATTAAGTTTTGAGTTTTCTTATTACTATTTTTGTCGAATTAAAAATGAACAATTCCCTGCGTACAGGGAATTGTTCACAGAACTCATACAGGTGCTGCGTTGGCAGCACAACAACCACAAGGATGTGAATTTTATTAATGCAAGAAAAAGCACAAGCTTAGGAGGGGGGACTAGAACTGACCTTCAAATATTTTGGGAAGGCAAAACTGATCAGCTAATTTAATTGTCTTTTTCTTTTCTCCTTTGACACAAGGAGCCACACTATAATTTCATGCCAGTATTTTATTGCTTGCATGCAAACTTCTCTTTCTTTTTCTTGAGATAATTCTGGTGTTCTACTTTATGCAGAGAGTTCTCCTTTTGAAATTCTTGTTTGATGAGGCGTTGAATTCAGCTACCATTCATGACCACATAGATCAACGTGCCTCCCGGACATCTGAATTGCAGCAAAAACTTCGCTCTATCTCTTCTGAATTGAAAACTCTGCAGTCCAAGGAAGAACCATTTGCTGCAAGTGTAGAGAAAGCAAATTCTAGCATCTCATCCTTCTCTGATCGTGTGGAGAATCCATTACAGCTCGATAGACAAAGTGATTACAATAAAGAGCCCGGTTGGCCTCCTTCGAGAAGCAATCTGGTTAAACATTGTGCCAGCAGTAGTAATCAAGCTGTAAATGTTTCTGATGCATTGGACCAATTACGAGATCAGCAGTGTGCAGTGGTTCAAAGTCAACAGAAAAACATCTTTCCCCATGTGCATCTACCTCAAGGAGACAGTTGCTTGAACGAGTTGCCTGTGTCTACTGAACAACGGAGTTCCTTTCTATCTGCTGGCCAGTCGACACCTAGCAGCCATTTGTCGGAGCGTGCCCATTCTGCAAATGATTACAAAAATGACGTTTCTGGTTTGCAGACTCCAATTGCTTCTACAGAATCGGAGCTTCTCAAGGTATCTCTTCGGAAGGATTTCTTGGGACGAGATTCTAATGGCAGGGTTTATTGGGTATTATGCTGGCCGGATACTCATCCATGGATTGTAGCTAATGGGAGCTTGACTTCCAAAAAGAGGGGTCCTGAAGAGTTCATTGGGGTTCCTAATTCTTCTACATGGATGTCCTATGAGTCTGAGTCCGAAATTGAGAAACTACTAAGTTGGCTGCAAGAAAGCAATGAGAGAGAGAAAGATCTAAAAGATTCTATATTGCAGTGGCTATGTACAAAACCCAAAGACTCGTTTTATGCTGAGAATCACATTCTTAACAAACATGAATCATTTTCTTCAGTTCACTCTGAAGGGAGAAAAACTTTACCGGCTACAAACGCTATGAATGCTTTGATGAAGAAATTTGGTCCTTGCTTAGAGAATAAGACCTCCACTGGCATCCATAAAAATCTTGCTTCTGAAGTAAGTCAGAATGGTATGATGTATAGATGCGAGTGCCTAGAGCTTTTGTGGCCTTCTAAAGAACATTGTCCCTCTTGTCATCAGAGTTTTTCAACGGGTAATGAATTAAGCCAGCATTCCATTGACAATTGCAAAACTGAGGGATCTACTTCTAAGAGAAGCCCAACAACAGAAGATGCCACAAAGAGCAAAAAGTCGAGGAATGCATCACATCAGGAGACATGCTCTGCTGAAACGGGAATTATTCAAAGATCTATAAGTGAGAAGCCCAGTGATGGATTAAGTTCCGTTGAGCACGAATGTCCATTTAATTACGAGGAAATCAAAGCCAGGTTTATCATTCAATCCCCAATCAGGGAAATGATAAAGGACATTGGACTTATATCTTCTGGTGGTATTCCATCCTTTCTACCAGGTGAGTTTCCTCATCCGAGTGATCCTGCACTAGTATTGGGCTCTATGAGGGAAAATGAGGTTAGTGCAGGAGAAATCCAGACAGATTCGGTAAATCAGCAGCAGGAATCAGGTAACGATCCCCGTGCTATTGATTCCATGAACAAAAATGATAAATTAAATAATCTGTCAAGATGTGGAGAAAAGGTTATGCGCAAGGAGGGATCTGAAGTTGACAAACATAAATCTATATCTACGAGTGAAAGGAATCAGGTTTCTCCGATGGCGGATAAGAATCTAGTACTTTCGCTGTCCAAAAGTTGTATTATTCCGGATTCTCCATGGAGACCTTTAGTCGGCAGAGCTTCTAAAATCCTACGGATTCTTAAGATCAGCTTGCTTGATATGGATGCTGCTCTGCCTGAAGGCGCTTTAAGAATTTCAAGGTCAAATCACAATAGGAGATGTGCATGGCGCAGATTTGTGAAATCTGCAAATACAATTTATGAGGTTAGCGTACCTTTCTACTTCCTAATTTAACTTCAAAATTTACACGGGGCGCCATCTTATTCTCAACTTGATGTTGTTTCTATTTATGCCCTTGTAGTCTATGGCCCTTTGCACTACTAATGGGACATGTGATTTCCTTATATAACCTAAATTGCCCCTAAAAAATTGAATTCATCCAGTAATATGAAATCTCAAGTCTCTGTATTGTATTTTGGCTCTTCCTCTAGGGCTTGAGATAGCTGTCTTTTCACAAAATTTATTTTATTGTTCTTGTTCGTTTTCAGATGATTCAAGCCATAATCACACTTGAGGAAACTATTAAAAGTGAGTACCTGAGAAGTGATTGGTGGTACTGGTCATCACCTTCAACAGCAGCTAAAGTCTCTACTCTTTCTGCTCTTGCTCTACGCATTTATGCTCTCGATTCAGTTATCTCTTATGAAAAACCTGTTTCCGATGGGACTACGAAAAATCCGATATCAGAATCTGCACTGAACAAGGAATCTTCAATCCCAACAAATCTGGTAAACTCTACCAGTCTATCAGGGCAAAAGACCCTTGAGTCAAATCCTGTCAAGAACCCAAGATCCAGAAGGAAAACAAGCAAGCGGAGGAATGATCGAGGTGGTCAAGATTGAGCACGCTTCTTCTTGACAGTGATGCTCTACATCTTGATAGCTGATAGAGGATCCCTAGAGAATGGAGCAAAGAACTTGCTGCTGTTATATGGCCAGCTGCTTGTATGGTGACTTGACGTTTAAGGTCTTGGAGAAGCGTCGCTGCATTGGCCTTCATGTATTTGTATGGAACAAAACCCTGAAGGAATGCATGGCAACGATCGAAACTTTTGGTTTTCTTCTAAAAACAGCACACAAAAAGGCAGTGTAAGTAGGTATATTGATAACCTCAGCAGTAGCAGTATAGCATAGATGTATGTTATAAACTTTTCAACTCTAATATCCAACAAGAAAATTTCTTAATTATTTTCTGCGGGTTTTCATAATATTCATGCTTGCTGCTAAGATCATTTTTCATAATTATAATACCACCACATATCAGGAGTTTGTGTGAGGATTGTTTTAATTATTAATTGGTGGTCTGCATCAAACTTCATAATGTTTTTGATGAGATTCTAAAGAAAGTTATTTGATCCTGAAAGAATTGTCTACAATCAAACTCAAATTGGATTTGAGATTTGTGGTCGATTTTGTCTATTCAAGTAACGTGGCAATGCCGGGAAACACAGGACATATTCGAGTAAGCATGTTTGGCTAAGCTACGGCTAAGCTATGTACATGTAACTTGAGTAAATTTTATAGTAAATATTTTTTTGTATCGAGTTAGAAATAAGTTATTTAGTTTGAAAGGGACGTAAAAGTCCTTCCTTGGCCTCAAGGTAAGGTTCTCTCTCTAGATCTTCCTAGAATATTCAGCTTTCTCTCCTCTTGGTCT